AAGTCAGTTAAACAAAATCCAGTAGGAAAGAAAGTGGTGCATTGGGCGAAGTTAACAGTGATATTTAAGGGATCAGTTATCCAATTATGTACAAACACGAACCTTTAACGTTGACATTCCTACGATTGGAGATGCTCTAATACTTGTTTTGGGATGCTTGTAAAGTCTGGCAAAAGAGTGAAGCACAAAATCTGGTGTTCATGTCAATGTTAACAAAGCTGCAAACACCACAAATTTATATAATTTTCAATTTAATCATGTCCTGTTTTTCACAAGTAAATAACATCAATTCATATAAAAGTTCAAATACTACAACACACTATACAGGACATAATTTCCAAATAATAAAAATCATGGAGTAATCTTCAAATAGGAAAAATAAATATGAGGAGTTATAATGAATAAAACCATAAATTCTGAATACTTGGTAGGCCTGACCCATCACAACAACCAAGATGCCAAAAAAATTGAGCTGCAGAAAACAGTAAAGTGAGAAATAGCAGCAGCTGTTCTCAAATTTGAATTAACACAAGTCCAAACATAAATCCTCAACAAAATGCATGTAATAATACTATCTACAATGGTACTAGACTCCTTAAAACCATACCATCAGCTCTTTGGAAATAAAAAATCATTATTGAAATTGTAAAACCATACCACTGTCACTTTGTTTTTGAAATGGTCCCCAATCAAATCTTCAAAGTAATATATATTCTTTACAATCATTTTGTGCATGCTTGTATATATTGAATTAGTAAAATTTAACCTATCTGCTGTAGCAATGAAAATCCTTTTGCAGCACATTACGGGTCGAAGCAGAAGAAATACGAGAGGTGAACGGGAATTTTACCTCATCGCCGATGAGTAGGTGTACAGGTTAAATAGCCGGTCGGTAGCACTTCATCACCTCGTCGCCCGTCCGATGGAGACCCGAGGTTGAGGAAGAAACGGCCGCTCGGGTTAATTGGAATTTACAGAGTTTCTCCATTTAAACAAAGTTATGACAGAAAAATATATGTGTGTATTGCAACTTAATAAAGTTAATGTATGACATAGATACTAAAGTTTGATATTAATTATAAACTAACTAGTACAGAGCCCGTGCGATGCACGGGGTGCAAAATTTTAAGGCTATTTATTCAGGCTTATAATTATATACATGAATAGAGAAAAATGTACGGGATATATATAGTACGTGACCCGTGCAAAGCACGAGATATATTTATTTGAAGAATATTATATTATAAGATGCAATATTCAATAAAAGTTTATAATATGCAAGGCAATTGTACAATGTTCAATAAAAGTTTTATAATATTCAAGTGGATTCTTAAAGTCTCTTGTATATTAAGACTACTGACAAAATAATATTTTAATCAATGAATTTCCTTTCCTTGTAGCCAAATTGTGAATGTGATTTGAGGAGTACAACAAATCGATATATAGCTGACTTGCTTTTTTCATTGTAGTTTTTTTTTTATATAATGAATTTAAAGATATTCTAAAATATAGCAAAAATTAATTTTTTATTACAATTAGGAATTTTACTAAATATAAACTCTCAATCTATGGTGTTAATCAACGTTTAAGTCTAAAAAATTAGGAATTTTTACTTCTTTTAATCAACGTGTAAGTCTAAAAAACAATAGAGTTATTATAAGTTTTTTCTTTCTACATCTTTTAAAACATTAAATATGAGAATGTTAGGGCTAGCTTGTAAAATAATTAATATATTATCTCACTAAAACATTTATACTAATAAAAATTTATTTTAGCATATAAATTTATCCCTTGATATAAGAGAAAGTAACAATTTTACTTATTGTTGTTCACCATATAATATTGAATTATTATTTTATTATATAATAAAAAAGAAATATTGTTAAATAGTGTAGTAGAATTGTTATAAAATTATATGATTTTTTTTTTTTTTTTACAATATGGATTTAATATTTTTTTTATGATTTGATAATATAAACAAATCTATACTTAACTTTGACAAATAAAACAAATAAATATTTTAGTAAGTATTTAATGTATATACTAAATAGGAATATATTTGGTATAATCAAATATCAAATACAATCAAATAAGTCAAAGTGTACATTTTTATTTGGTATTTGATTTTCTTATTATTAAAATCTTTTTATTATACTTAACTTTTTAAAATAAAATAAATAAATAAATCAATTAAATAAATAAAATATTATAATACCAAAATAGTAATGACATTTAATGCAGTTGACTTTTCTGGATAGTAAATGTAGTAAATAGAATCTCATTTAATATATGTATAGATTGTATAATACGGAAATAGTAATGCAATAAATGTTGTTGACTTTTCTTTATGTTAAATCTGGTAAATGGTATACCTTTTAATATAAGTATAGATTTATTCAAAAGATATAACCAATAACTAATTACAAGTTCAAATTAAATTGTATGAAATGAAATAAAAATGTTTTCAAGATAATTTAATACAATTTATGCTTGATAAGATATTGTAAATATGTAAAATTCAATATTTTATTAAAGTGAAAATGTAGCGCCCGTTCGTTTATTAGAATTTTCTGGATTTTATATAATTATTTACCTTGTCTTATTATTATTAACTGCTCGTTTCCATCTGTTTTATTTATCTGCTTATTATTGAATTGCTATGTGACTTTATATATGTGCTTATTATGTGTTTATTGATTAGTTATATGTATTAGAACTATTAAGATTTATTTGATTAGAATTTTAATTGTTCGGCGATTTTCAGTTTAATCGCGTAACCGATTTTTAAATCCGTTTCTTTTTGTTTTCGAGCCATTTCGACCCGAACCTCGAATAATTTTGTTCCGGCCCAAGTTGAATTAATTTCGACCTTTACGTACTATTTAAAACCAGTCCGTTGATTTATTATTTCTGGCCCAATTTTTATGAATTTATTTCCAGCCCTTGTATGTCAATAACTTCCGGCCCAATTGTTCTATTTCTGTTGGCCCAATTGAAAAGATCATCTCTTTCCAACGCATGACCGAGTCTATCAGATAAAATTCCAGTAGCGATTCCTGGGTGAAATTTCTCGCACGTTCGCACGAGAATCTCTCACAATCATGTATTATATCTCGGTCAAGAGAGACTCCTTTCGAAAAAGTTTCGAGTTCTATCTCATCCCTCTCTGTTCTGTTCGCGCACCCTCCCTGTATAAAAAAAAAAAATAAAAAAAGGGCTCGCCGGCGTCTGCTGCACTTTCCGGCGAGTTCACCTGCCGTCGACGTCCACTATCGCGTCAAGAAGGCAGCCTTCAGTCGCGACCCGTGTCGCGAGCCTGCAAACCACGTTCTTTCCGAGTTCCGAGAAGCAGCACCTCGTCCACCATTAATTTCCGGCGAACATCTCCGGCAACCTGTCCATCGCCGTTCGTTGCCCGGTTTCAGCCGCCGTTCGACGTGAAGAATCTGTCCGTTCGCGTGCGGCTGTGTTCAGTCCCGGTGTTCGACAGATTCAAGTTTCGAGTCCCTGTTTGTTCGATCGTTCGTTTTCCAACCGAGCGTAGAATCCAGAAGGGAGGTAATCGGCGAACTTTCTCGTTATATTCTCGTGCTCGTTTTATCGATTCTCGTTAAAATGTCGAATTTGATTCGTTATGTTCAATTTGTTTCGTTCGTTGGTTTGTGAATTGTGAATTTCACATGGACTATGGAACTCTCGTGCGTATAAATCGAACTCTTTGATATGGTGTGGGTGGTATATTTTATTTCGGAATCTTGTCCGTTTGTTTCGAGTCGTTGCCGTTCATTATTTTCGAGCCGTTATGTCGTTTCGTTTTTCGAGTCAAAACCCGATTTTATTAGCACCCTCGAAATTCTGTAAATTGTAATTTTCGTAAATATGGATTCTTCTCGAACCCCAATTTCCGCTGGAGATTCTTGTCGTCGAGTTCGGTGGAATTTTGTTCAGCGTTTTGCAGCCTCTGTTCATCGTTTCCAGCCTCTGTTCGACTTTCCCCGACCTCTGCTCGATTTATCTTCCCAGGCCCGATTTTCTGTTTTTCCGGCAACCAGCCCAGCATGGAGTGCAGCCCGTCAGATTTTCACAGGCCCAGCCATGGCAGGCCCAATTTGTGTGAACAGCAGCCCAGGAAATGCCAGCCCGCGTTGTCTTTTCCTTCACGGCCTGCGCGGCCCGCTAGCGGCCCCTTCCAGCCCGGCTCCTCTCCCAGCTGAAGCCCGCACTGCCCGCGAGCGGCCCGATCCTGGCCCGCGCTCCTCCAGCCCCTTTTAAGAGATGAGCCAGGCCATTCTTTTTCTTTTTCGGCCCATCAGCGCGTGAACGACCCAAATGCTTGGCTGCCTTAGGCTAGTGTTTGGACAAGTGGTCCAACTCGTTCCGGAAATCTGTTTTCGTACCGAACTTGATTTTAAAAATTATTTTCAAATGAGAAAATTCGGGATGGTTGTACCCGTTGTTTAAGTGTTGAATTAAATTGAATAAATAAAGATATTTGAGTAGCGCCCATTAAATAAATCTTTAAATTGATTTTTTGAAATTAACTCTGATTTTTAAAAAAATAATCGATATTTTTCACTTAAAAATAACGGGGCTTTACAGAAAAAAGTGCATGAGAAATATTCATTGGAATAACACATTTACTCTTGCATTTACTAGGTCCACTTACTCACTACTTACCCCTCTTCTAATGCCTATTAAAGGGGTTGTAAAGCTTACTCACAACATACCCGATTCTAATGTGCTTATTAAAGGGGTTGTAAAGTGTAGAAGCCCTCATAAACATTCAAACAATTTCAAAGGTGAACATAAGCAATATTTGGCAACATATTTGTTGGGATCATTTTCTTAAATTTGTGTAAGATAATTTTTTTTCTCACGTTCTCAGATTCTTTT